CGGGGGCGGGTCCTGGGCGCAGGTGGGCGGGGGGGGTGGGGCGGGGCGCACAGGATCTCATGGCGCTCGGAAGCCCGTGCGGGTGTGACGGGCGTTTCAGAGAAGCCTGTTTTCATCCCTTCGCCATATTTCTCTCCTGGAGGGAACCAGTTCCATAGTTTCTAGTTCGCCCTTTCAGTGATTCTTCCGGGATGATAAGCAGACAGACACACACACCTGGCCTGACTCATTGCCAAGCTTTGTCAGGAAGCCTTTTTCCTGCCTTGAGCCATTTCCTGGAGTTCAACATGCCTTGTCTCACATGGACATCTTGGATTTTGCTTTTAAGAAATTTTTTGGAATAAGCTTCTTCTGCACACTTTCTGTTTTACCTGCTCCCGTCCCCTCACCGTCTCCGATGATTCCTTAGATGCTCTTGTTCTCACAGGCCCACAGCGCTGGTGGGTCACTAGGTGACTTTAGGAACATGGCTCGTCACCTGCAGCTCGGAGCCTGGGGATCGGGGCTCAGACTCCGCTTCAGGGAGGCGCTCCCAGTTGGGGACGAACAGATACTGGTGACGTTGGGGATCTGCAGGGTGTGGCCCATCAGGAATCTTCCCTCATTTCCCACATTTCCTCTGCGGGGAGCTGCCCTCTGCATTTGGGTCACCTCTGCCTGTCTCCCAGGTTTGTGAGACCTGCCACCTAGGTTTTGTGTGTGATAGATGTCTGGGCTTTTGCTTTTACTGTCCTGGTAGGTCTCTTATTTCTATTGGGAGTTTTGGGGAGATTAAATAACCCCACTGCTACTGACCTCACCCTACTCTCAGTGGCTTAACAACAAGGAACAATCAGTGGAGAGATTCAGTGAATTTGTTCGTGGACATAGAAATAGTGAGAGAAGGAGCTCTAACTGAAACCGAATCTTCAGTCAAAATCTACAGCTGGGGTACAGCTGCCTCAACAGGGTGCTCTTTTGAGCACCTGGCGTCAGTTCTTACGTAAGTGGCTGCCCGAAGGGGTTGAAATCTCAGGTGCTCATCGTGCTTGTGGGGTTCCTGGGGCCTTTGCAGAGTCTGGGGTGGGGGGACTGTCATGATTGTGTTGGGTTTCCCGTTTTAATTTCTCTGGCTTCTGCCCCTCAGCAGCCCTGACCGCAGTCTGCAGAGCACCCAGCCTGACCTGCAAACATGTTTTGTTGGGGCCCATAGGATACGTGCTCCCTAAAGTGGTTTGCTCTTGAATCCACAGGTCCCACCCCTGCAGGAAGGCGACAGTTCAGGCAATAGGATCCGAAAGCGCAAAGGTCAGGCACCCCTTGTGGGCCTGGGGACCCCTGACCAGAGCCCTCTCCCTGGAGGACCCCAGCAGAGGCACAAGCGCCACAGGACAGAGCAGGCCCTCGAGGGGCGGTTTATTTCCCAGGAACAGCAGGAAACCACAGAGTTCCTGGTGAGTTTCTTGTTCATAGATTCCCACTTCTTTATTGCATTCATTTATTTACTTTTTCGCTGGGGAGAGGGATGTGATTTTTAACTTCAAGGGTTAAGTTAATCACTCCTCAGTTCATGGCCTGCTTATCATTCCAGTTCCTATCTACCTTTATTTACAGATTTCCTGATTTCTCCATGTTCAGTTTCCATCTTTTTCACCCCCTAACATTATTTTTAATTGACATTCTTTAGTTGATGTGTTTATAACATGTGCATTATTATTGCTGTGAATGTCTCTCCATTTCACGTTGGCGTGTGCATGCATATCTTGCTGCGATGCTTGTATTTTTCAGCGAGCGCTTGTTCATGAGGCACCTGCATTCATCCCCTCGGCTGCTGGCAGCAGGGTTGGTGTGTCCACGTGCCTCACACACCCAGCAGCACTGACCTTGTCTTTAGAAAGTGTGATGATAATATGTCTCCATGGGTTTTGTAGTCTTTGGAGTCCTTTGGCATTGTCAGGTGTTTTTTCTTTTTAATTTTAGCCATTCTAATAGGTGTGTAATGGTATCTCGTTGTTTTAACGTGCAATTTCCTAATGGTAATATGATGTTGAGCATTTTTATATGCTTATTTCCCATTCATGTGTTTACTCTTCAGATCTTTTGCCCCACAAACCGGCCACTAGTTCGAGCTGTTGCCATTTTTATTCCCCTGAGTTATTAACGTATCTTCTCTCGCAGTGGTCACTTCTGTAGAACCCTTCCCGTGACTCCCCCAGACATTTATAAGCAGCATTGCTCTCCTCTTCCTCTGTGCCCATCTTGTACCCTCTATTTTATTTACGCCCTGTTTTATTTGTATGTATTTAACTCTGCACTGCTGAATGCTTCTTGCCAGCAGGACTGTATATCAAAGGCACCTAGTTGAATAGCAGCACCTACAGGCCAGGAACTGTTGCAGAAGCAGGGTGACCAACCATCCATGTTTGTTTCAGCCTCTTTGACTCCCAGTTGCATTTATACACATTCACCTTTGATTTCCTATGCATTGCCGAGCACTTGTGGGCAGGACTCTGTTTCCACACTGTGACATCACCTGCAGCTCGGTAAGGACCTGGCACCTGATATTGTCATGTCTTGAGTGAAAGGCTGACCAATAGAGTGCATATTGATGAGGAGGTTTTCAATAGTTTTTTACTCTTGTCACAAAGTGAAATGTAATTAATGAAGTCTCTAGGTAAGCAGTCTGTTGTTTCCCACAGACTCAGTCAGATCCTCTGAGATTGTAGGGAACCTGGTCTTGCAGAGGCCGCTGTCGTTCACGGACGTGTGTGTGCACTTCACCTGGGAGGAGATGCAGCTGCTGGGCCCCGCTCAGAAGCACCTGTACAAGAGCGTGATGTTGGAGAACTACAGCAACCTGGTGTCTGTGCTGCCGCCTGGTAAGTGCTGCCGCCCTGAGCGGAATGTCTTGGTCGCTGAAAGCTGGGAAGTGGGGAGTGGGGCTTCTGTAAACCCTTAGTGATTTTAAACTTCTAGTCAGAGGCCAGGTTTTCTGATGTCATCAGATGATACTAGTTGAATGTCTTTATTTAGTCAAAGTACAAAAGGGCAGCTTCACCATGCTGCCTCTTAACTGAATCGTGCCCCTCCTTCAGCATCGCTGGGTCCTGGGTGGCTTCGGTCTAAATTGTCTGATTCTCCGTTCACAGGGTATCAACACTCCAAACCTGACATCATCCTCCAGCTGGAACAAGAAGAGCTGCGCACGATGCAGGGCCGAATTCTAAGTCACGGCCATCCAGGTGAGTGATCAGGACATTTAGATTTTTACATTTTTATCTGGAATTGGTGTGAATTCTGAAGTGATGTGCTCCTCATGTTTGTGCTTCTTGTCTCAGCTGTGCCCATCCTCTCCTACTTACTCTCCTCTCTGTCTTTCTCAGTCTTCCTGCTTTCCCATCTAGCAGACACACTTCATTATGCATCTAAGCCAGCCATGGGCAAACTACGGCCCGTTTGAAATGAATAAAACTAAAAAAAAAAAAGACCGTACCCTTTTATGTAATGATGTTTACTTTGAATTTATATTAGTTCACACAAACACTCCATCCATGCTTTTGTTCCGGCCTCCGGTCCAGTTTAAGAACCCATTGTGGCCCTCGAGTCAGAAAGTTTGCCCACCCCTGTTCTAAGCAGCTTCTCCTTGATATCACTTGATGTAATTTTCACATCCCTTCTCCTTCCTTTCTTTTTTTAAAATGTATTTTAAAATCCCTTACGCTTATCTTCCACAGCAGTCCCAACTTCCTTCTCCCTGCACCACCCCTCCATGCTTCTCCATGCTGATCCCTTGTCAAGTGCATTTCTGCATCAGTTGATGGTGTCTGTTTTCCCCCCTGCAGCCGTGCCCCCCGCACCCTCTGCACCCACTGTCACAATGCACAGTGATGGAATGACTCTCCTCATACTTCATGGACTTCTCTTGCTGTTCCCTCCGAGTCCAAAGGGGTATTTTTTTTAGATTCATCACTTTCCTCACATAGTGTAACTTTAAAAAGACTTCTGTTCTAAAGACTTAAGCTCTTTATTCTCTTTTGGTGATGACAGTTCATCCCTCTTTCATCTGCCCTTTGGTACTGGGTGTGCTTGGTCCACAGGGCATCCTCCTGCCAGTGTCACTTCCTTATCTTGTTTTCAGAAACTAGAATTGTCTCTCCCACTGCCCGTAGCCACATCCCTCGTCTCCCACGTGTTGCTGGTACTTTCCGCTACGCTTCTGGCTCTTCCTGGTGCTGGGGAGTCCGCTTCCTCCTTCACGTGCAGTTCTCCTCACTGGTTTTACTAGGCCTCTTTGTACTTTGGTCCTTTAAAGAAGAAGTCAGCCATGTTTTCACTTTCCACCCACAAGGCCAACATTGTTTCATTTCTTACAGTTTTTTACTGATTAGTCAAGTTTATTCAATTATCCTTTTTATGTTCGTTTTTTGTTTGTTTGTTAATCTCCACCCCAAGATATTTTTTCCATTGATGATTTTTAGAGTGGAATGGAGGGAGAGGGGTGATAGAGACACACACACATTGGTCGGTTGCCTCATGCAAGTGCCCCAACTGGGTTAGAGATCTAACCTGCAACCCAGGTATGTGTCCTTGACTGAGAATCGAACCAGCGACCCTTCAGTGCATGGGCTAAAATTCTAACCACTGAGCACACTAGCCAGGGCTATGTGAATTCTTTTTTTGTTGTTGTTAATCCTCACCCGTACTTTTTTTTTCTTTTTTTAAAAAAATTTTTTTTATTGATTTGAGAGAGGAAGGGAGAGGGAGAGAGAATCACCGATTGGCTGCACTGTTGGGTGCACAGGTCCTTTATCCTTCCGACTGCGCCTCTTCAAGGGACTGGACCTCTTCAGACGCCAGGCATTTGACAGAGAAGCCATGAGAAGTGTGGGTATAAGGGAGTCTGTATTGTAGCCTAAGTAGCATTGCTACTGTAGGAGCCATTAGACAAAACAGTTCTTCAAAGCAAAGTCCCATACAGTAGCTGCACACCGGCTGGGTCACAGTACGTCTTTCCCACGCAGCAGCAGCAGCCTCCAACATAGGAGCCATACGGGAGCCTCACACAGCAGCCATTATTAGAGCAACAGCCGCCCCCAGGGGCTGTACACTGTCTGGTCAGTAACGTACTTTAGAATAAGTTGGACAAAAGAGGCTTCTTTCTAAATATTGACACCACTATTTTGGGTTATAGAAGGGCATGCCTGCTCAGTGTACATAGTCACATTATTGTGTCCTTGCTCTTGCACCTGCATATAGCAACTTATCTTTGAGCACTCCAATTAGGATTTCCAGGCTCAGATTAGCCTTGAACATCTGGCATACTCTGGACAGGGTTCACACAACATCCCACACTGGGGATTGAACCTGAAACCTGGACATGTGCCCTTACTGGGAATCAGACCATGATCTCCTGGCTCATAGGTCAAAGTTCAAACACTGAGCCACACCAGCAGGGTGAGGACATGTTTTTTGTGTGTTTTTTTAAATATATTTTATTGATTTTTTACAGAGAAGAAGGGAGAGTGATAGAGAGTTAGAAACATTGATCAGCTGCCTCCTGCATGCCCCATACTGGGGATGTGCCCTCAACCAAGGTACATGCCCTTGACCGGAATTGAACCTGTTACCCTTCAGTCCGCAGGCTGACGCTCTATCCACTGAGCCAAACCGGTTAGGGCAGGACATGCTTTAAATGGTTTTAGAGAAAGAGGAAGAGAAATAGAGACAGAGAAACATCAATATGAGAATGATATATCAACCAGTCACCTCTCACATGTGCCTGACTGGGGATAGAACCTGCAATCTGGGTATGTGCTCTGACCCGGAATCCAACCTGAGACCTTTTAGCATATAAGGATGACACTCCATTCAACCAAGTCACACTGGCCGCAGCTTTTTTTTGTTTGTTTTTCTGGGATGGGAGCTTGTACTAGCTTTTTCCTGTGCCTGGTGTTCTGCAACCTCATGGTGATGCTTCTTGTGCGTTTATTTTCTTGAATTTGCATAGTTAGTGGAACTTTAGTCCCAAGAAGACTGTAATAGTTTGCAATGTTTTCTGCTTTTTCTCCTGAGCTTTCTAGTGTTGTAAGTATGCAACTATTGTTTATTAAACTAGAGGCCCGAAGCCGAAATTCATGCAAGCGTAGGCTTTCCTTCCCCCGGCTGCCGGCACTGGCTTCCCTCTGGCACCCGGGACCCAGGCTTCCCTCACAGCCCCGGCTTCATCCAGAAAGTCGTCTAGAAGGTTGTCCAGAAGGATGTCTGGTCTAATTAGCATATTAAGTTTTTATTATTATTGATTATTCTAATGCTTAGAGCTTTCATCTATTCTCTGTATGTTGTACTCATTTTTCTTTTTGCCTTTTTTGGCTTGTTTACCCATTGCGCAAACCTTTTAAACTGAAAACAATCTTTAATTATTTTCAGTTGCCTATTCCTGTCTTTATTTTTAGTTTTCCTTTGTTTTCCCCAGTGCCCAGGAGTTTGGGGATATTTACACCTCATATTTTACTTATTTTCTGTTGCAATATCTGAAACTAAAACAACAACCTGATGGCATGGCACTTTAAGGCAATTTTATGGGATACCATGGTCATGTTTTTATTTGTAACATATTTTTATTTCTAGACAAAGTATGGGAGTTTGATTATCACACGGAATGGTATCAGGAAAATCAACGCAAGCTGGGAAATACGACAAAATACTATGACTGTGCTGCCTTTGGGAAACTATGTCTTCTTACTACAAATTGTGGTTTTTTTAAGACAAAATCTTTATAAATTTGGCACACATGGGAAGAGTTTGAAATATAATATAGACTTCAGTATTAATTATGGTGGAAAGAATCCTAATGGGTTTTATGCACAAAGGGAATCAACCCTTCATTCGGAACATGAACAAACTCTTTTTTGAATAAAATACTGTGAAAGTAATGAACCTGGAATATTTGTCAACAAGAAGTCACAACTCATGTGCCCACAAATCTATGTGGAAGGTAAACCCTTTGAATGCAGTTACTGATGGAAGGTCTTCAGTAGCAAGTCATACCTTGTAGGGCATCAGCAAACTCATGCAGAGGAGAGGCCTTACAAGGGTGATGGATGTGAGAAAGACTTCAGCAGCAAGTGCTATCTCATTGAATATCAGCGAAATCATACAGGAGAGAAATCACGTGAATGTAATGAATGTGGGAAAATTTTCCAGTTCAATTCACAATTTGCTATACATCAGAGAGTTCACACAGGTGAGAATCATCATGAATGCTGTGCATGTGGAAACGTCTTCAGTAGGAAAGACCAGCTTGTTTCACACCAGAGAACTCATTCAGCACAGAAACCTTATGGTTGTAATGACTGTGGGAAAGCTTTTGGGTTGAAATCACAGCTCATTATACACCAAAGAATTCATGCAGGAGAGAAACCCTATGAATGCATTGAATGTCAGAAAGCCTTTCATACAAAGTCAAACCTTCCGGTACATCAGAGAACCTATACAGGGGAGAAACCTTATGGTTGTAGTGAGTGTGGGAAAGCCTTTACTTTCAAATCACAGCTCGTTGTCCATCAGGGGCTTCACACAGGAGTAAAGCCCCATGGGTGCATTCAGGGTGGGAAAGCTTTCAGTTTGAAGTTACAGCTTATTGTACATCAGAGAAGTCACACAGGAATTAAACCTTATGTGTGCAGTGAATGTCACAAAGCTTTTAGGAGCAAGTCATACCTCATTATACATACGAGACCTCATACAGGAGAGAAACGTCACGAATGCAGTGAATGTGGGAAATCCTTCAGTTTCCATTCATAACTCATTATACATCAGAGGATTCACACAGGAGAGAGCCTGTATGAATGCCACAAATGTGGGAAAGCCTTTAATCGTAAATATCAGCTCATTCCACACCATAGAATTCATGCAGGGGAGAAGCCTTATGAATGCAGTGTCTGTGGGAAAACTTTTGGTTTGAAGTCACAGCTCATTATACATCAAAGAATTCATACAGGAGAGAAACCCTTTGAATGCAGTGAATGTCTGAAAGCCTTTAATACAAAGTCAAACCTTATTGTACATAAGAGAACCCATGCAGGCTAGACGCTCTATGGTTGTAGTGAACGTGGGAAACCTTTACTTTCAAGTCACAACTTACCGTACATCAGGGAACACACACTGGGGTAAAACCATATGGATGTAGCCAGTGTGGGAAAGCCTTTAGTTTGAAGTCACAACTCATTGTGCACCAGAGGAGTCACACAGATGTGAAACCCAAGGATGCAGTGACTGTGGGAAAGCCTTCAGGAGTAAGTCATACCTCATTATACACATGAGGACTCATACAGGAGAGAAGCTACATGAATGCAATGAATGTGGGAAATCCTTCAGTTTCAATTCACAACTCATTGTACATCAGAGAATTCACACAGGAGAAAATCCGTATGAATGCAGTGAATGTGGGAAGACAGCAAGTCATACGTCATTATACACATGAGAACTCATTTGGTAGAAAAACCATATCAATGTACTAAATGTGGAAAAGCCTTCATTCGGAAGTCACTACTCATTGGGCACGAATGAACCCATGTAGGGGAAGATCTTTGTAAATGCAGTCAGTGTGAGAAATCCTTCAGTGGAAAGTTACGACTCATTGTACATCAGAGAATGCATGCAAAAGAGAAGCCCTATGAATGCAGTGAATGTGAAAAGGCATTTGTTAGGAAATCCCAGCTCATTGTACATCACAGAACTCAGTCAGGAGGGAAACCCTATGGATGTAATGATTGTGGAAAAACTTTCTCTCAGAAATCAACTCTCAGTGCACAATAGAGGGCTCATAGAGGAGAGAAACCCTGTAAATGCACTGAATGTGGGAAAGCCTTTTGTTGGAAGTCACAACTGATTATGCATTAGAGAACTCATGCAGGTGAGAGAGAGAAATTGATGAATTAAAAGTGATAAACTTTCAAAAGTAAATTCAGATCGAAGAGAAAGTGTAAATGAAATCATCCCATGCACTGCAAAGCTTACGCTGAATGGAAACCTTACGAAGGCACAGCGTGTGGAAGGGCACGCACAGAAAGCTGCTTTTACATCTGAAAACATCGGTGCTTACACACGGGACCTCCATGAGTTTGCTGAACCCTACAAATATTTTCAGTTGTAGGTCATACCTTCCTATAATGTTGTGGAACCATATGAATGAAATGAATGTGGGACAGTTGGTTTTTAGATATGATAAACTTCTCTGAGGAAATTTCATAAATGAACATCAATTACACTCATTTGAAATTCATAACTTATTGAACAGGAACATTTATTAATGATAGAAAAATTCTCTTCATTGCAAAATTCTTAAATGCAACCTTTTGCTGGAATAAAATGACTCATTAAAATACCTTTTAGTAATAGAAACCACATATATGTTATTTGTTTCCTTTATAAGTGGGCCCGGCAGCTACCTCTTTTGTTATATACATCACCATGGTGTACATTTATTTTTAAAATATATGTATATTGGTTCCTAGAAGAAGGGAGAGGGAGAGAGAGAAATATCAATGATGAGGGAGAATTGTTGATTGGCTTCCTCCTGCATGCCCCCAAGTGGGGATTGAGCCTGACTTCCTAGTTCATAGGTCAGTGCTCCACCACTGAGCCACACTGGCCAGACTGGTGTATATTTCTAACTGGTTAGATTATCCTGATGTCTTTAGGATTCCTAATTCCAGACCATATGTGCAGTCATGATGGGATCCTCATTCAAGGTGCAATGGCAAGAAATTGACTTCTCACCTAAGTAGGCAGAAGTACTTGGGACTTCGAGTTTTTAATGGACACCTACAGAAAAGCAAGTTGAGTTGTTTTTTTGTTTGTTTGTTTTTAATTTAATTTTTTAAAAATATATTTTATTGATTTGTTACAGAGAGGGAGAGAGATAGAGAGTTAGAAACATCGATGAGAGAGAAACATCAATCAGCTGCCTCCTGCACATCTCCTACTGGGGATATGCCCGCAACCCAGGTACATGCCCTTGACCGGAATCGAACCCGGGACCCTTCAGTCCATAGGCCAACGCTCTATCCACTGAGCCAAACCGGTTTCGGCAAGTTCAGTTTTCTTGGTTTTTTTCCTGGCAGCATCTTCCAATTGTTAATTAGTTCTTTTTATTTCAATTACCCAGTATAGCTTGAGGTACAGACACTTTTAAAAAATATATATATTTTATTGATTTTTTACAGAAAAGAAGGGAGAGGGATAGAGAGTTAGAAACATCGATGAGGGAGATTGATCAGCTGCCTCCTGCATGCCCCACAGTGGGGATGTGCCCACAACCAAGATACATGCCCTTGACCGGAATCGAACCCGGGACCCTTCAGTCCGCAGGCCGATGCTCTACCCACTGAGCCAAAACATTTCAGCATGGATACCTAGGATGAAGCATGATGATTCACAGAAGGGAAAGGAAAACTTGGATAAAGAAAGAATTTCAGATATTTGCTAAACGATGCCCCGTAAATCCTTAGAAATACCATGACTGTATTTTGTCATTGATGTTCCACTGAAGATACACACACGGTAAGAATAAGCACCTAAGGAAAAGTCCACATTCAATTTACTATTACCCAGGGTCACTTAGAATTTAAAAGTTACTGTATTGTGTGATGCAAATCCACATGCAACCAAGAAGATGGTAATCCAATAGTGTGGGCAAGAGTAGTGCTGGGTGTTATTTGAAGCTTAAAAGCAATGGAAAACTTACCAGACAAATGAAACTTAACAGGATGATTCTATGTACAACCATTAAACAAAATTGAATTTCTGTTAAAAAATCTAATCTCTGGTGTGGGAATCTATCTAGTCCTTCCAACCTAGCCTGTAATAGTTGATAATTTTCAAAAAAGTTCAAGGAAAGTTAATTCCAACATTTAACAATATTTCCCAGTAAATAGACGTTGGGGGAAGGAGAGAATGACTTGCAAGTCATATGAACATAGATTTAAGAGTCCCAGATGGAATAACAAAATGCATGTGATCATGTACATTTTTAAAAAACCACGTCCCTGTGAAATGTAGCAGACCATTGGTAGTGCCCACTGCCACCAGAATCACTGGTTTTCCTAATGGCAGTGTCGGTTGCTGAAAAGCTCCATTTCTCCATTTTCTTGGTAATTAAATGTAACCATGCTGCTGAACTCTGAGTGATGATATGGCAGTACAAGTCGCTGAGCGGGTCTAACGGGAAGGTTTTTCAGAAGGAAAACAAACACCTGGGAAAGGCCCCCTAGGGTCTTTTCATCTTCCCTCTTCAATGAGCAGCACATCCTGGTTTGGGTTTCCGTAGCCATCCTAGCACCGGAATTCATCCTGAGGATGGACGCTACCTCCAGAATGCAATGGAGAGTGACTGCCCATCTGATAACGGTGGAGCTGCTATAGGCACTCTAGACTACCTACATCTGGGTATGTTTTACACAAAAGAGAAAACTGTGTTTTGGGGATGGGGGGAGAATTGGTTCTCTTATATGCAGCTGAATGTGGTCCTAATTGAAACACATTAGGATGTTTGGAAGACAATATCAGAAAATCATTTCGTGAAAATAACCACACTTCCAGATAAAAGATAAGCCCTATGATTATCTCAACATGTGCAGATAATTCAATTGATGGAATGTAATAATCATACATATTTTAAAATATGAAATAAGAAATGAACTTCTTTAACCCCTTCAAGAAGTATGTCATACTTAATGGTTCAACAATAGACATGCACCCTTAAATGTAGAAGATTACCAGGATGCTCATCACATTTCTTGAACAACGTAATGGAAATTCTAGCCAAGGTGTGAAAACAGAAAGTTATAAGGAATTGTTGGTTATGTCAGAAACAGAAAATTTCCAATTTGTACAAATCAGTCATGTTCTGGCTAAACCAACTGGGTAAGCTTCAAAAACAACAAAACAAAGAAACCCAAAGGAACAAAGCACTGGAAACGAAGGAACATCTTTTGTCAGCAGGGAGTTGCTGCTCTCACCCTGGGTGCAAGGGCAGGCAGAGGTGAGGTCCTGTGTAGACCAGTCGCCTTGGCTGGCGTGTGGGCTTGGAAACCCAGAGAACCCCACCACGAGGCCTTTCCAGCCACTCTTCCCCTGGGTCATCATGGACCCTTGGGGATAGTATGACACGTACGAGGTTGGCAGAGAAAGCGAAAAATGACAGATTGGGCTGACTTCTAAGTGCAAGGCAGACGCTGTCTGAGGGCAGGAAGGTGGACAGTGCAATAGTTGAAGGAAACCCATTCGAGGCGATCTGTACTTTTAGGCTGAGAGACGGGTGAAGGACCCAGAGAGCACACCATCCCTTGCCTGTTGCTGCCCCACCCCCTCAGGTATATGAAAACCACCCCAATGCACGTAGGGCTTTGCACTACAAAACATGGGGGAAGGCTCAGGAGAGAGGCCTTCACAGAGGGCTGGGAGCTCCGAGGCCAGCACTGGGAAGCAAAGGGATCTCAGATCCCAGAAAGGCACTCGGGCTGTGAGGCAGGGCGTGGAGCTCACGTTTCCCGAAAGCTGTTGGCTTCCCTGTGAGCACAGGCGGATCGCAAACACGTGCAGGCTCAGGTCCCAGGCCGCGCTGAGGAAAACACCCTCCCTCGGAATAGTTGAAAGGAGCGAACTACATCTATCCTAAAACTGCAACAAAGTCCACGCAGCTTAAATACAGGTCAGACTGATTCTGTCTCACCCAGTCTCCTAATGTAACGCCTGACATTTGAAAATATGTGCCCTTTTCTGGAAATACCCAGGGCAAAGGAAGTTGTCAGGACTAGAGCCCTAATTTTAAAAGTACTATTTCACCAAAAATAAATCCTAACTCTGCCTGCACTTAACACTAACGCTTAAAAATCACGAAAAAGTAGAGGTGAAAGAATTGCCCTCTGGTGTTAGTTGGACACACTTGTCCGTAACTTGGAAACATTTCAGCTGCCTGGACTGCTTCCAGATTTTTCGCTTCAGAGAACCTTCCTTCCAGGAACACCGACCGCCCTTTGCTCGCTCCTGTCCAGACCGCCGTCCGGCGCGCTGGGCCCCACGGCTCTGCCGTTGTCACGGCACCAAGGACCCTGCCCAGCGGGGCCTTGGCATTCCGTGGTGCCCACCGCTGTGACCAGGGCCAGCGAGAGCCCTGGCGTGGGGGTGGGTGT